TTTCATGTCATTAGCACCTCTAGTAATATATTTACTGAGAAAAATGTTGACGTGTTGAATACTTATTTTACCCGCTGTATGCCTGGCTCTGGTAAAACAAATTCAAATTTCTCTGATATTAGTTTGCATTTATGATTTTTAGAAACAGCACACACAGTGATAACAGATGTATRTCTTTAGATGTCCACAGTATGAGTCTGTTAATGATATGTTTGTGCCTGTGTGGTGAATTTACCCCTGTAGTGATAGGACTGCAGTCATATCTGCTGCTGTTGGTGCTGTTTTCAGCTTGGAGGGTCCTGATCGGCATCATCGATGTCTACAGCATCAAAAACAGTTATTATTAGAAAGTTATTTCTCTCTGTAAATATTTCATGTTKGTTTGCTTACAGAGACCGTAGAGTTTCTGGACTCCTGTTTCTGGAGGATGTCATGGGCAGCACTCAGCATGACCACATAAGCAAAGTTATTGCACAACCCAAGGAACCTGGAGAGGTTTTCAAAAGCAGACGAATAAAGAAATCTGATTCAGTAGCTGAAAAACTGAAGTCTGCAAAGTTTCTCTGGAAGAAAACAGCAAAAACTGTTAAAGTCATGTTTCAATTACTTAATTCAGTTAAGCTGATTAGCCGTGGCAACACWGGGTTGACTCCTAATGTTAATCAACTGTAGGTGTAAATCCTATCATTATTTTCAAATATCCATCYCTTGTTACTGAGATCTAACATTACRGCCCTGGGTGGCAGGTGATAATAAATCTGAGGTGTGCTGATAATTAAGTGAAATGTTGTGGGAAAAGGGGGGCTTTGTTTCTAAAACTGTGATTAAGCAATCATAAGCAAACACATGTCACTAACATGTTTCTGTTTCATACAGACTGTTACATTCCCCTGTTCGTCTGAAGACCCATAAGAATAACTTAAAATATTTATTTATTGGAGTGTATTATACATAAAAAAATAGAAATGTGGCAAAATGACGATTCCCATTGGTGATCTGTCTGAAAGTGAAGGTAAAATGAAACAACTTGGCTGATATAAGGAAGTTGTTCTCAAGTTTGGTTTCACTTTGTTGCATTTTTTATGTTAAACAAATAAAACGAGACAACAGTTGTTCTGTTTGTCTGAGATAACTTGGTTTAACTTTAATACATGAGGGTCTAAAGACCATATATTATACCATAATATGTGGTGTAACACCAGGACACTCACCAGAAGCCGACCCGGTTGCGCCACCGAGCCCAGCAACCTGTCAGTGTACAACAAAACAGACCGTCAGTGTACAACAAAACAGACTGTCAGTGTACAACAAAACAGACTGTCAGTGTACAACAAAACAGACTGTCAGTGTACAACAAAACAGACTGTCAGTGTTACTTTTTAACTAAGTTTAACGATGTAAAATAAAGTGCTACACATTAAAAACGCGAGTCTTATGAGTAGAATTCACAAATAAAAAGTAAAATAGGCTCCGTATTGATTTTTATTAGCAAAACTCGTGATCTTTATCAGCAGAACATAAATCATAAATCAGTTTTCAGTCAAGCTACCGTCATGTTGAGGCTCTGCGTTGATGCTGCCTGTTCGCTCCATGAATCAACAAATCAGCTAAACTGTAAAGCTAACACCTGACCACAGWAACATCTGACATTCACAAGATAAAAACCTCTGACAACAGCATTGTCTGTTTGAAAACTAGCCGAACCTGTTTGTTTGGCTACGTCACAACCACGTGACATGCGGTGCTTCTGTCCGGAGGTTCCCGAAGAAACAAAAGCTGCAACCAACAGTTCCTGCTGTGGTTTTCAAAATTGGTGGGTCAGATGAAAAGTTGGTCACATGGCAGATATGTTTTTGAACTGTGAGAGGAAACTGGAGTAAGCCCACACAAACACGAGGAACATATAAACTCTACACACAAAGGCCTCAGTCCCAAACCAGGGCTTGAAACTCTGAACTTTCTTGCTGTGTGAGGCAACTATTGATGTGACATTTATGAAACAAGAAATAACACACATAAATACATACAGCGGGTAAAATAAGTATTGAACWCGTCAACATTTTTCTCAGTAAATATATTACTAGAGGTGCTAATGACATGAAATTTTCACCAGATGTTGGTAACAACCCAAGTGATCCATACATACAAAGAAATCAAACCATAAATGTCCAGAAATGAAGTTATTTGTAATAATGTGGAATGGCACAGGGAAAAAGTATTGAACACATGAATAAAGGGAGGTGTAAAAAGGCATGGAAAACCAAGACACCAGCTGAACTCTCTCAGTAATTAGAAAGCAAGCCTGCCCCTTGTCAGTGCAAGTTAATATCAGCTGGTTCAGTCCCAAATGATGGCCAGGTATCACACAAGAACCATCTGATGATGGGTAAAAGCAAAGAGCTCTCTCAAGACCTTCACAACCTTATTGTTGCAAAGCATAATGATGGCATCGGTTACAGAAGAATGTCTAAACTTCTGAAGGTTCCAGTGAGCACTGTTGGGGCCATAATTCAGAAGTGGAAAGAACATTATTTCACCATAAACCGACCACGACCAGGTGCTCCTCACAAGATTTCTGACAGAGGAGTGAAAAGAATTATCAGAAGAGTTGTCCAAGAGCCAAGGACCACTTGTGGAGAGCTTCAGAAAGACCTGGAATTAGCAGGTACGATTGTTTCAAAGAAAACAATAAGTAATGCACTGAACCACCATGGCCTGTATGCACGCTCACCACGCAAGACTCCACTGCTGAAGAAACAGCATGTTGAAGCTCCTTTAAAGTTTGCTGCACAACATTTAAACAAGCCTGTGTAGTACTGGGAGAATATAGTCTGGTCAGATGAGACCAACATTGAACTGTTTGGATGCCAGAATACACATCATGTTTGGAGGTCAAATGGCACTGCACATCAGCCCAAAAACACCATACCAACAGTGAAGTTTGGAGGTGGGAACATCATGGTGTGGGGCTGTTTTTCAGCATATGGTACTGGCAAACTTCAAATAATTGAAGGAAGGATGAGTGGAAAAATGTACAGAGACATTCTTGATAAAAATCTGCTTCCATCTACCAGGATGATGAAGATGAAACGTGGCTGGACATTTCAGCAAGACAATGAGCCCAAACACGAAGCCAAGGAAACTCTCAGTTGGTTTCAGAGAAAGAAACTAAAGCTGCTGGAATGGCCCAGCCAATCACCTGACCTGAATCCAACAGAAAATCTATGGAAAGAACTAAAGATCAGAGTTCATAGAAGAGGTCCACGAAACCTTCAAGATTTGAAGACTGTTTGTGGAAGAATGGGCCAAAATCACACAGCTGTCATTGACAACAAAGGCTTTTGTACAAAGTATTAGATAAATTTCAGTAAGTGTGTTCAATACTTTTTCCCTGTGCCATTCCACATTATTACAAATAACTTCATTTCTGGACATTTATGGTTTGATTTCTTTGTATGTATGGATCACTTGGGTTGTTACTGACATCTGGTGAAAATTTCATGTCATTAGCAGCTCTAGTAAAATATTTACTGAGAAAAATGTTGACGTGTTCAATACTTATTTTACCTGCTGTAAGAATGTGTATGTATTCACTCCTCTTTACTCTTTGCAGCAGTCTGAGCAGCAAGTCTCTGTACCCCCAGGCGCTGTCAATCAGGTGCCCACTATGCAGAGGAGGTTTGGACTCAGTGCATCACAGCAAACCAGTTAACAGAATGATTAAGAATGATTAACCTGCATATCAGCAATCTGGAAGAAAATTAGATAAACCTAAAATTGAACTTATTCCCTTATCAAAGATGATGCATAAAATTACCCAAACGTGTCTTCTCATTTTTTTAAGTAGCTGAGGAAGCTAAGATGCTAGAGGGCTGTCTGATTAATCTGATAAGAATTTTTTTTCTATAAATGAGCAAGAAGCTGGGGCAGTTTGCCAAACTTCTGCAGAACTCCCTCTCAGTCATGGCTGCCTGTAAACTGCTGACTGTGCTGCTTCTGCTCCACAACACTGGAGGTGAGTATAAACAACCTCTGAGTTGATTCATCTGACTGAGTTTATTTGTTTTTTTACTTTTTCTGAATGACTCTCATCTACTACCATAATAAAATTTTAGCACATCTGTAAAATTGATTGAATTATAGCCATATTATGTGTTTAATATTCCTCGACTGTAGCAGCAGGAAATAATGAATAATAATTTATAACAAATGTTTGAATGTTAGCTGATGTTTTTCACAAGCTGTGGCCTGAGCTTCCATCAGTTCACAGCATCAGTGATGTTTGTAGGTTTCCTGGGAGCAGAGGTGAGGAGCTCCATCATTGGTGGGAAGGACTCCTTGAAGGGCCAGTGGCCCTGGATGGTGCACCTGAACATCACCACAGACAACGGCCTGGAAAAGTGGCGCTGTGGCGGCACCATCTTGAATAATTTCTGGTTGCTGACTGCTGGACGCTGCTGGGACGGGTATGTTTCTGTTGGACTTTTCAAACTGTCAAGTTAACCCACCACAGAACTGGGATCATTAAAATGTTTCTGTACTGCATGATATACAGTCGAAACCAAGGTTTGTGGGCAGAGCTGAGAAAGTGAATCCTACAAACCTGATGCTGTCAGGAGGAGTATGACAAAATTACATTAAACTGTTATTAGAAGCTGAATAAGGGAAACAAAAGACTTTGATCCAAGTCATTGTCAGGGTTTGTGGTTAAGACTTAAGAATGGAGACTAGACTTGAAGACTTGATGGGAAAAAATTATAAATAAAAAGCAAAAGGCTTTTGTGGCAGAAGAAATACACAAAGTAAGAAAATCCATGAGGAACACAGAGGCAGTAAAACAAACAGTTTGACAGAATGATGAAAAGAAGCAAATAAACGAAGCCTAATAAATACAAAGAACAGGTGTGAGTGATAAACTGAAGGAACAAATGGTCAATGGCACAGGGAACATTAAAAAATAACTGAATATACAATCACAAAGGAACAAAAACATATAAAACTACAAAACCCTTCATGACAAAACTGAATCAGTAATAACCATAAACAACAACAACAACAACAAAAATCACAAATCATCTAGTCGGTTTAAAGGTAATGTTACCAAACACTAAGAAAAAATATATACATCCTTGTGATTTTGAATAAGTAATAATAATAAAAACCTACTTTCTCTCTATCTTGAGGCATTTAAAAATATAAATATTTTGGGAATCCCAACTGAGTCGAAACAGGACATATTTATTTGAAGTCAGACTGTGTGAATAAAATGATACATATGTAAATATGTGGTTTCAACTGTATTTGGTCAAATTAGATCTTAAATGGATCACTAAAATCTCAATATATCACATCATCAAATCACAAAATCTCTATATTTCTGTTGTGGAAAACTGTCTTTACAGAAGATGGTCATTTACAATATAAACATTGTTTGAATAGCTGCAGCTTGTTTCACCAGAGTGCATTGTTTGTGTGTGTGTGTGTGTGTGTGTGTGTGTGTGTGTGTGTGTGTGT